GGCTGCAAAAACCACATCAAGACTAAACCTTGGGGATGACAGACAATGTTTCTGCAAGTGTATTTGTTCTGTCAGAATTCCCAGGTGTATAGTAGAGCTGACAAGGGACAAGGTTGTAGTCATTTGTTGGTCACAGCCAGCTACCCAGAGGGAGCAAACAGTTGGACTTGTGGGCTTGGGACCATGGTCACAGGGGCCATCAAGCTCAATTGGCATAACATACTACACAAAAACATTGTTCCACCTCCTACTTTGGCGAGTAGCGACAGGAATCTTGAAAGATTGCAAGCAGCCATCTAGATGCAACGATAAGTCCTCATCCAGAGCAATGAAGACTGAAGAAAACCAAATAAATATCCATGGAAACAGTCCAAGGGACTGGTACACCAGGTGATCCTCAGCCTGTATGACTGTGAGACCAGAACACTAGATGGTCCCGGCTACCACTGTCAACCACTCGGATGGGGATCTATGTAGGAGATCCTGGACAGAGTGGGAGAACAATGTGGAACAAAACTCAAAATCATTAACAAAAAAAAAGGGACCAGGTTTGCTTGTCTGATAGAGCCTGATGGAACCCGAGACTATGGTCCCTAGCTGCCCTGCAGGTGTGGAACCGAACCCACTCCTGTAGCTTCCAGCCAAACAGACAGGCATTATGAGCTGAACATTTACATTAGGTAGATATACTTCTTGGAGAGCTCAATCATGGGTGAATAGAAGGGCTATGTATGCACAGAGAGACAGCTTGGAGGTGGGGGAGGAGTGCATGGGAGGGAAGGACACAGGGAAGAGGTGGCTATGGGGAGGGAGTGGGAGGAGAGCTGTTCCATTGTGGGAGATTGCAGTCAGTGTCATAACATAAAGTGTATGTGAGCTGCTCTATGGAAAATGAATTTACTCTGTAAACCCTGGGGAGCCACTACATTTCAAGGGACTGACAGAGGAAGAGAAGCAGTCACAGAGGTTGGTCAGGGAGTATGTGTGAAATGGAACCACCTGAACAGAAATAATGAGCATGGAGACACAGCAGGAGGAACGTAACCAGTGTCACCCAACATCGTGGGAAACTGGCACCGGAACCTGCTCTGCTGTGTACACCGTCACCAGAAATAAA